ATGCCGTAACCGATCAGCGGTTCTTATAATGCGAGAATATCGTCAAAACGCTGCGCGCACAGCACTTCGAACAGCAGCCAAATCGAATTCTCGACGCAGCGGCACGACGACGACGACGACGACGACTAGAAGAGGGCGGCAGAAGTAGCGGCGCGGCTTATGCCAAATATGAATCGCGGATTTGCGCCAGTCTGCTGTCGAACAGGGAAGTACACTGCTCAGCAGAGACGCAGACTCGCTCCATTGAAAACACTCGCGGCAGCGCACGATCGATGCCGATGAGTCATCACGCCGACGTCGCCCGCACACGCTCAAGTAATGCCCCGTCTTCTTGGCTGGCAGAATGTCCTCGGGGCGCGCGAGCCGTGTGATAACGAGGCTTCGAGGGGGTGAGAATGGGATGATGACGGTGCAGCCGGCTCAAAGATAACGTCGTTTCACATACACATAGTCCAAGATCTCCCCATACCTAACTCTTTCAAGGAAATCGTCTTGGAACCCTCCAAGACTGCGAAACGGGACAAATCCTCTATAATCGAATTCGCCCGTCCCGCACCTTCAACCAACTCAATTACCCGAAAATTGGAATACGCACCTATATGGCATTGTATAGTTGTAGTAAAACCAGAACAAAACACTCGTAGAATCTAAAGAGCAACAAGAGATGTAAGAACATATTGAAGTTCGCGAATCTGGCTCACAACCAGGGAGAACCGTAATGTTCCTGGTTGAAACTACCCAAACCCTGCCTTAGCAATCCGTGGCATAAAGCAAATCCATTCAAGGGATTTTCACATTTTTAGGACACATCCAGATTCTTTGAAGTGAACCAGCATGTGCTATGTCCAAGGCTAAAGACTAAGTTCCTAACGTCCTCGAGTTCTCTGAAAGAGTTGTTCACGGTCCAAGTTTTACATCCACCACGCCCTTACGGAAAAAAAATTCCAAAATTTCCCCTTACAAAAGTCAACTGACCGCGAAAACGTCATGGGATGTGAGAATACAACACTCTACATTATCTCCAAAGTTCAGTATTTGGAACTTCCATGTAGGGAGACGTGTCGAGGAAACGGTAGCCGGTACGACCACACACCCTCTTATTTAGAGTCCCACGACTTGCACACTTTGCCCCTACCTTAACCTATCCCTCAAGCTGTAGTCGACTACCTGAAAGGTATCGAAGAAAAGGCAAAACAGCTCACACTACGGAATTCCTCTAATTTTGTGTGAACGGTTCTGAAAATTCTGGTAAAAAAGAAATTCCTTCACTGGAAAAAGCTCTGAACTTAGTACCTTATACCCTCCTCTTCAGTGGCCTGAAAACACATTGGTCAATCCCCCAATGCGACGTCACCTCCTCTAAAAAAAGATTACACTCAGACACTCTTATGTAAGAATTCGTCGATCTGACGATGAATCGAACAAATTCCCGGTCGCTAAAATGGCCCAATGCTCAGCATGTAATTCTACAGAGCTCTGAGCTTCAAGTTTTCCACTGTTAAACTACGCAATTACTGTGATAGGTTACACCACCGAGAACGAACTCTCTAATAAGGAAAATGTCCCTTTCAAATCAATCGATCACTGCTCACCGATGTTATCAGCTGTCTCACCTCCATTTCTTGACGACATTTTCTAGCCCTGTTTTTCCTTCGAAGCGGTACACAAAAAGCAGATAACATGACTGTTATCAAAGCCGTTTCAGTGAATGTCAAACCACAAGATGCACTTTTAGTTCTGCACACACTTCTTTAAGAAGATCGTTAATTCCCCAAACAAAACATTTCGTAGCGATTAGAGAACTCTTTGTAAAGTCACTAATGAATCTCCTTGCCAATTAGAGTAGTGACTCGTAGTGAACACAGCCGTGCACTTGAAAAGCCTAGCGATGTCTGATGAGTAATGCTCAACAGCAAGTTCTCAGCATGAGGCAAACACACAATCAGGCACAATCTGCCACAAACCCTACATACTTCTCATCTTCAAATAGATGCCCTGAAAAAAGGCAGACATTGATTTAGGTGACCGTACATCTATGAAGTCATAGTTTACCATGCACCGCTGGCAATTACTACCTTTGCGCGCGATATCAACCCATCTGGCCAGAGACGCTGTTTGTGCTGACGATTGCGCTATTACTCTCGAGAACTTGTTTCATATTTGTTTCGCATCCACATCGACTCATTGAGATACAATTTTCCAAAATGAAACAAGTAAGCCTTTTAAATAAGAAGTAGCGCCAGAGGATGGTCTTGAATTTTTTCCAAAATTACCCCAGAATCTGCAGCAAGTTCACAAAAATGAGATTTACCGAGGTATAACTACTGGTATCCAGCTGACAATATTCCTACCACAGAGCCACCTACTAGATGAGATTGCCCATGAACGAGCAATCTTTCACAAAATCATCAAAACCGCACGCTGAAAAGTGTGGCCCCTCTTTTACAGCCTTCATTTTGGCAGATAACCTCCTCTAAACATTCAGTGGTAGTTGCTCACTTTCGCAGCAATCTGCATATCTCCCAGTGAGGCATTCTCATTGAATCACAATCAAAAACCACCGCAGCAATTGCCCAGAATTTCTACGCGCTGCAATAGTTTTCGCTTAGAAAAGCAATACTGCTTACTCTGAGCCGCTATAGCAACTAGCATGCACTATTTCCAATAAAATATCAGTGGGGTTGAAGCAGTAAAGATGGACTATTCGGCAATAATAAGTCCTTCTTGGGATGCGCCATGCATTTCACTTCCATTCAGAATCGTGATAGCTTTGAACTGCATCTTTGCGTGAACCATAAAGTACGGGGCCGGGTAATTGCTTTGATCATTACGAAGAGGCTACCACCAGTTGACATAACCCGGGGATGGAAGGCTAGGTTGACGTGAACCACGTACGATCCGAGATTTGAGCCCCGGACCGTCGCGTGATAACAGGTGCCACTTGTCTCCACCATTACCGACTTAGCAAATCAGGACGAGACTTGATATTTAGATAAAACAGTAACTGCCCTATCACCAAATTGCTCAGAAAATGTAAATGGCTTCTGGAGGGGTCAGCAAAAGAGGAATGAAAAGGAACAATCGTTGGATAAGACAGACGACAAATTCGGACGATTGCTTCATCGGATTGGCATCATCACTAAGAGGGTGATTCGATTAGCCAGGAAAGGACTCCCACACCAATCACGGACACCACTCGACGGACAAACCACAAGCTAGCACTATCACACACGACAACTTAGACTGAGGAGATCAACCATACAAACATGTACATTTGAGAACTTTTGGGATGGATGTAACGCCGCTAAAGGCTGCCGCGTTGAAGGGTAGAAGTGCTCTGTCACGCTTCATTACTGCTCGAACACCCTCAGGCTATTGCCAGCCGACGTCTAGAGATTACGACCTAGCCTTACAAAGCGAATCGTTCTACATCCTCTTGGGCATTTGAAAATAACAAGTCCTAGAAAACTCAGAGTTCGGGAACGCTTCGTTGAGAGAAACAGGAAATAAATGAAAAAGAAAATGGAGAAGAAAAACGAAAATTATCGAGGAAAAGAGAAAGAGAAAGAAGATAGAAGACAAAAAAGATGTCTTTCTATAACGAACGTCGTATAAAAAGAATTGGTTCTGGTTTTGGGTTCTGTCCCCAGATCGTAATCATGAACACTGGGTCATTTTAAGCAGAAAATAGGAGTTAACAGTCCAATTCTAGAAGACAGTTTTTGAATAATATTTTGCAACTCTTCAGTTTTTTTTTCGGATCATCAAATAAATTCCTTTGCAGTTAAAAAAAGTGAGTGTACAATTGGGGAAGAAAAAACAGTATAATAGACACAGGGAATTACAGGGACAAAGAGCTTTGCATGGAATGTCTTTGATAAAAGCAGTGCTCAGATAAATCAGAAGTCCTTCCACTCAATAGAGATAAGCTTGAAACTGCGAAGCTATCCCGATGCTCACATTTTGACATATAATACCTTTTTGTGGCACTATTGAGGAAATTGCACGTACTTCCTTCCTATATGCTATCCTAATATCAGTGCTAGATGAGGAATACTTTGAAGAGAAGAGTGGGAGACGTTTTTGATTGCCCTCAACAATGGGCTACGGTACGGAAGGTACAGGGTTTCGACGGTACGGTAAGGCCTTCAGAATCCTACAACTTAAATCAGGTGAGGAGATGTGCATCTTTAGTTGTTGGCAAACCTACGACCGTTTCAGTAGAAATTGAGCTTTTTCATTTGAGGAGCCTTCTTTATCAATGTAGTATCAATGAAAAAAGTTTCACTTCTAAAAGCTATAAAGCATCAAAAGATGTTGAAGGATATCGGTACTCAAGTAGCACCACTAACGATAAGAAGAGAGAGAGCAGGCTTCAAGTTAAGGCTGCCTTTAAGAACCTGCACTGAGAGAGGCACCAAACTTACTGGTGTTGCAAGGAAGCGTTCAACTGGAAAGGGCAGTCGCAAGGAAAACCAAAACGGCAAAAACATCAATCGCAACCAAACGAAAAGCTTTTAAGGGGACGGAAATGATGATAGATTTACTTAGAAAGGCAGCGCTGGTCATTGAAAACGAATCCGAATGCATTCGGTCGTGGGGAATAGCAAGGGACACATTTGATCGGACCTCCCCAGCGTATTCAATTTCAAAACGACAGCAAAATGGGACGATGTGACACGATGGCTCCGATAAAGCGTCACAAAACGATCTCGCCCGAAGATTTTTTATAGAGAAATCCCAATGAATTCAAACACAAAAAAATGCTGGACAAGAAGAGACTCTTTTAAAAACAGAACACTGCTTTTTGGAGATAAAAACTGAAACGATAGCCCTCCTCTACCGTATTTTCACAACATCATGTAGAGGTTCACTTTGCGTTACTTTTCCTAGTACTTTTCGTATTTTAAGAAAATATTAGACACAAAGCTCCTATGTGCAAGCTTCCATATTAACATGATCTGTCTTCGGGAAAAATTTAGCGATCACTAAAACTTTTACCGTTGCAAAAGTAATTCAAAGCAGCTCTTACCTTCCAAGATCTGAATCTTCCTGAAAATATTCGTGCATTCCAACTGATCGCGCAAATGTCGTACAATTTTCGCCGGGTTTTCTCCACAACCTCCAGCTGATATCCTACAAAAACTAGATTTTATCCCAAAAATACTTGAAGCTAATTATTCAAAACACGGGTCAACTTATTTCAAACGTTCAACTTCAACTTGTTTCGCTTTTATCAGCTAAAATACAGTTTCAATATATCAGGAAGTTAAGTTAATATTCATCAGGAAGAACAAAATCCAGAAGTGACATTTGATACGAAATAATGCGAGCAGGCTGTCAGCAGATGGACGCCATATGTGAGAGATGGTGCATGAAAAGAATAGAAATAAACTCGGTTTTCTTAGCGCCATAAAATGAGCCCTTTCGAGAATTCGAGTATGTACAAAGTAATAAATTTTTAAACGCACACCAAACCTCCAGAACATGGACAATTAAGAATTATGACTGTATCTACGAAACACACATTCCTTAGGTGTTTTCTCCTGTTTGCTTCTACCCTCTCTGCTTCTTTCTTTATTTTTTTTTTACATTCTTTCGATCAACTTTCTAAGAACTGTTCACACTGTGAGGAAGTGGTTACTGTAAACCTTCTTTCACTTAACACCTTAGAGACCGCACATGTTTACGTTTTGCGACCGCGTAAGACCTCACTGACTTTTTTGGGAATCTCATCAAGCAGGAAAGAGAAATCTACTGTATCATGCAGAAGAAATCCTATCGAATGAAATGGAAAAGAAAACAAAAAAAGAGCTCAATTTTTTTCTGAAGTGTGGGCTGAAAGGTCTTAAACCGATGTCAGACTTTGCGAATCGCGCGATTCGCTAGCGTCCGCGGTCGCGTTGCGGTACCAGCCAATTGAGTGATTCACTGGCCGCGACGCGACCGCAGACGCTAGCGAATCGCGCGATTCGCAAAGTCTGACATCGGCCTTACGCGGTCGACGAACTGCAGCCCACCTATGGGTTGCATAGCTCCAAGGTGTTAACATTGTGGAAGCACTAGGGTAACGACATTAGATGAAGCGGTTTACCTTCTCTTCGAGCAGAATCGGGCAGCCGGTTGCTTCTCCGGCTGTTCGTCCGTATATAGCACAACGTCGACCATACCGTTGCCAAAATCAGCGCAACAAGCCGATGCACGTAACTGGTTTGCTAGGCGTACGTGGTCGAACTTAATAAGTTAGATTTAGCGAATAGTTATTGTCGTCAATGTCATTCAACATTGACCGATGACTAATGGATACGAATTGCTTGACTGCCTTGTGTAACGAACACATCTTGCAAAGCAGGGACTTTTATACTTCAAAGCAAGTACCGCTTAGAACAGTTGATGAGCTGGTAAAGAAACTGCTGACGTAGCAGCGCCAAGTGATTCAAGGACTCATAAAATGAGAACGACAGCATCATGAACAGCTAATTCTTGCTTGAAAACTAAAAGAACTGCAACTATACAAGTTCCCGGCACCAAGTGTTAGCAACCTCGACACACTGACCAAAGAAGTACAAATGAATCATCGCATGAATGCAGGTTTTTATGAACGGTAAAGGCCTCTTCGCGGGTGACTCACGTCACGAACAGGGTCAGTTTAAACGAGCCTTCTGGGCCGCACAGGCAAAAAAAGATCGCCGTAGTCATGAATTGCTGACATTCTACGAAAAGATTAATTACGACGGCAGGTTCTCAAAGAAAAAACCACTGCACAATCGGCCGTCGCTGCTTTAAAACATATGGTTCACGGTTATTCATTCCCGAAATTCCATAAGTGAAGAAAAAACTCTCAGTCACCAATTCTGTTCTCAAACACTCCTGGCAGAATCAGCACAACTTTTTCGTATCTAAAAACAACCGAAAACTTCCTATGGACTTCGGCCGAGTTTTCACCACCCCCATTTTTATTTTTCTACCACATATCAATATTTACCCAAAATAATCTTGTTGGCAAGATGTTGACCCGACCATTTTATGCCAGGTCAAAGCACCACAGTAAGCTGCCCTAATAGTTCCCGAGCTCATGAGGGAAAATGGGTAGTTCAATATTCGACAACATAGCGCCTAGGCTGTACTTTTTCTTTTCTTTCGCCTTAGGTTGTACCGCGCGTCGCGATTCGCTGGTTTTCAGTTTTTCGCCAATCTTGGCTGGGTCGCTTCGTGTCTAGACATTCACTCTGCTGCTGGCCGGTGACTTCACTCGTTTCGGTTTATTTCAGTATGCGTTTTTTAAGACTCGCCTCGCGCTCTGAATGGTTACGACGCTAAGCATGGAGACAGTAGCGCCGGCTTGGTGTCTATATGGCGCAGCACACATCAAACCTGTGATACTTTTTTGAATGGTTTCTAAAAACATTCAACGCAATGCGTGCCGGAGGTGGCACCGCGGACTACACCCAGGTGTAGAAGCGGACCGTATGATGTGAAAAACAACAGGAAATTCGACGCCCGCAATGCTTCAGCACATATGCTATCTCAACCGTGGTTGCAGCCAATTTAGAAAATATGACCCCTCCCCCTCCCCTTCCGATGCAATGATGTCGATAATGTCGACAAGTCTGTCACTACGTGACAAATTTCCATTCTTCAACCTCAAAATAACCGCAGAAATGGCAAACTTGAAAAGATTTGAAAAATATCCTCAAGGCTTCAAACATGGTAATGAGCGAGGAGATCGCGAACCCTTCCCAACATTTCAAAAAATTTCCCCCTCCCATGATTCGAAAGAGAAGACCCCAACCAAGTACAGCTGCCCTTCCTGCCCTTAATCACGACGTAGGAGCCCCACACGTCTGACTTGGCCACACGGAAAGTTGACTTTGTTCCTACATATAGCCGGATCTAATCACGACCATCTAGAAAGTACCTAGTCAACATCTCTGAGTTGAGATAACTTCAGGTCCAACAGCGCCGACAATTACTTGACCGCTCCATGGAGGCAGCAAATTTTCATAAATCCACTATATTTCCAAAGTAAAACATGTTCTTTGGTACAGAAAAATCGTAATTCGAATAAATACTGTCAGAAGAGAACCCGTACAAAAGTGGATTCATTACTGAGCCGAAGCGATTCTCAGCGATGCCGCTCTAGCGATAACATTCTATAACAAATTGGATTCAACAGTCACCAAACGATGGTGACTCAGGATAAACACTCAACTATGAATGGGCAGGATCGGAAAGCCCTACAATCCTGTCATGAAAACGGCTACGGTAAAAGTGATTCAATGAGTCAAAGCACATGAGTCAGCTTCGAGGATCTGAATCAAAACCAACAAGAATGGGAAACGGTTCCACAACGGTACGATAGTTACGCAGTATCGTCATGAATTGGATTTTGGACATATTATTATAAAACGGTACCATCGCAAAGAGCACCCCTAGTAATAATGCGAAAAAACTCCGAGTAAGATGAAAATTGGTCACACAACCTGAAGTCGCTCTCCTCCCCTCCGCCTTCAAGGCATAGTCCTAAAAGTAGGCGTTTCCCACAGAAAAATTTTTACTGCAGTCATCACAAAAATGGTGGGTTATAGAGAAAACTCGTCGCCTTGGCGCAAACGGAACCTGCACTCCCTTCCAATCAAAAATCAACCAATCAAAGAACAATCAAGAACTTGCCGCGGTTTAAAAAACGTTGGCACCGCACTCAGTGAGCAAATTTTTGTTTTAAAAATCCTTTACTGCCCCATCAGAAGATGCTTACAGGGCTAACAACAAATTCTGGAGCTTTAAGGATGTTTGGACCTATTTCCATCACA